CTCGACTAAGCGTTGATGAGCTCAATTTGACTCAGAGTATAGCTATTCAAGGATGGTCTAGGTACATTGAAATGCTACATGGTCCTATTTATCCAAATATGGTCAAAGATTTCTGGAAGTATGCTTCTGTAAAATTTGATGTCTCCTCTGTTTCCTCGTGTGTTTTTGGAAATTCTATCACCATTACTCCTGCAACCATTCCTGCTGCAATTGGCCATACTCAAATTGGAACTACTATTGAACTTCATAGATTTAAACACTCCTTGATTGAAAAACCCAGTACCATTTTTGACATGTCCATTAGATGCAATCCTACCAATCCTAGATATATTCTCCCCATTACCAAAGTATGGTTCCAACTTGTGTTGTCTAACTTCCATCCAAGAGGTATCAACATGAATTCTCTGACTCATGATGACACCCTTCTTATCTACTTTCTTGTGAATCATGAAAAAGTTGATATGCCTCAAACTGTCTTCAACCATCTAAGATACTCAATTATTATCTCCAGAAATCAACACCAGTCCTTCATCCTATTTGGAAGAGTTATCTCTACACTCTTCTTTAAGGCCGAGATGATTAGAGATGTTAGGTATAATGGACTTGAAAATGCACTTGTAGAAGAAATATTTTAGGTTCTTAGAGTTTAGATAATTCTGGTTATGTCTCTTGTTGTATTGTGTTCTCAATTATGTTCACTTCTTCTATGCATGTGTTTATAACTTATGTTTCTGGTTAATGAAAAATGTGTTGTTCTGTTTACCGCTGAAGAAAATAGGATAATTGTTTTAAGTTACATAAAAATTCTTTTACCCTCATATCCTATTTAATTTCTAACAAAATAAAATGGATACAATTTTTGGATCTGTTACTTAATATAAAACATTTACCACTAACCATTTCTACATGATTAATACAAGGAACTTTGAGAAAAGTTCACTAGCTTTCTTTTAGACAGATTATATGAGAATTTGATGTTGTAAGACATCAACGAGCAATATTCAATATTTTTCTATCAGATTCTTTTGGTTCCCAATCAAGAAAAATGTCGAGTCATCTTTAATTGATCATAGACATTGATAAGTACGATCTACCTATTCTCGTGTTTCCTTTGTCCTTTGTGTTTACTCTCTCTCATAAAGAATCTTGGGAGTTATAATTGTCCTTTTTTTATTCCTCAGTCATTTATTATTGATTTTTCCTAGTCTAATTATCTTACATAAGTAAAATCAATTCTCTTGTCAGTTACATCTTTTCCCCTTCTTTATTTAAACTGCTATTTTGTTTCATCCTCCATTCATTCCTCCACAACAATCCTTCTTAAAACTTCTCAACATGACTTCAAGAACCTTTCATGGTAACGATGACCTCTTAGAAGTCATCAATCAAAAATGTCCCACTATACCAGCAGGTGCTGGACAGGACTTCCATCTTGGCATTCACTTTCAGGATTAGAATTGATACATCATTATGCTAAGGAGACCCATATATCCAAACCTTTTAAAATCTTTATGGATAAATGCCTTCGTTAGTGTGGATGGACTCTTTCTTTCATCTGATATCTATGTTTTTCCTACTTCCTTCACTTCTGCAAACATTGTTGAGGCCATTGGGTATCCTCAAAAGGGTATCACTATGAGTCATGCTTAGATTAGATGCATGGGATGCTAACATGATCTCCATATTTGATGTCTTGTTTGGTTTTGAACCCACAAACCCTGAAAAAAATTCTGCCTGTCTCTAAAGGATGGTTTTGATTCATTCTGACGTATCTTCTTCCTCGTGGTCTCCACAAAGACTTTTTGTATCATTATGATAAGCTTCTGATTCTTTGTCTGCTTAAGCGTACTCCTTTAGATCTGCCTCAGGTCATATTCAATTATCTTAAGGAATGTATCACCATTTCCAGAGTCATGAACAAATCCTTCACTCCATATGGGAGAGTTCTAACATAAGTTCTTATCAATGCAAAAATTGTGGAAATTATTTGTAGGATTGGTGATGGTCCTAATGTCGCTTTTAAAGACGAAAGATGTGAAAATTTTGATAATCAGTAGTTTAAATAAGTGTTGTTTTTGTTGTCTTTCAAATTATTATTTGTTGTCTTCTTGTTTTGCTCTGTTGTTAATCTTTGCACCTCGTGTCTTTATGAATTCAAGTTTATTATTTTGTTGTTTTTTGATTATTGTATGTGCATTAATATCTTTCAAAAATCAATTAATAATTTTTTATATCTTTTTGATTATGACAAAAAGGGGGAGAAAGAATAATGATTTTTATTAATAACAATTCTCTAAACCCCCTATGATTTTCATGACATTCTAACATGATCTAAACTGCAAAAACACTTTGAATATGCATGACTGCTATAAGAACATTTCAAATGAAACATTGCATTCACTCTGATAAATCATGTTCTAATAAAGAACGACCATTGTTTCTAATATTTTGAGAAAGCATGGATAATCTGATAAGCTTAAAGGTTAAATCAATGATGATAGATCATATTCAGAAAGTATAACATTGCTCCTAAGCTCTGAAAGATCATAAGTTTATGATTCAGGGGAAAATTGTTTATCCCAGGGGGAGTTTCCAACTCAAGGGGAGTTTTTCTAAACTCTTACATTACTTTATTTATGATTTAACCCTGTAAAATCGTTCCATCAAAATACACAATTTTGTCATCATCAAAAAGGGGGAGATTGTTAGAACAAGATTTAGATCTGTGTTTAATCTCTGGGTTTTGATGATAACAAGCATATATTTTATGAGAAACAATTTTAGTTCTAATGGTTTCATTGAGTGCACAGATACATCATTAGAATTCTGGATATTCTTAATCAAGATATCATCAGAATCACTTTACCCCTTAGAAGAAGAACCATTGAGTTTTGTTTCTAATGTAACATCAGTAGTTCTATGAAATGCTGAATGTTCGAAAAGAAAAGAATCTCGATGAATTTATAGGAAGAGCTCAAGCTTCAAAAGGTCAGAAATTAAAGAGCATGAGAAATAAGCTTCCAACGTAGAAGGTTAGAAGTCAAGACTAGTTCATTAGAAGAGCTGCTGCTTAGATTCTAAAGACGAAGTCAAGATTCTGAACACATAAAGAGAAAGCTTCTACTCCAAGATCAGAAATCAATATTTTCTCATCAGAAGAGTTGTTGCTCATGTCTCTGGAGACAAAGTCAAGATTCTGAAGACTCAGAGAGTTCATGGAATACGCACTTTCATTCAACATTAGAAGAAAGGATCAAAGAAAAGAAGATCTTCCGGACTAATTTCTAATCAACATCACAAAGTCCACCAGAAGACAAGATCAAAGGATGATATCTTCTCAAGCCAATCTACTCAACATAGGTAATATTCGTTAGAAGACATCATCAGAAGTACCACTGCACTCAACAGAAAAACTATTGAGATCATTTCTATAGAAACATCAACAGTTCTAAGGAATGTTGAATGTTCATCATAAAGGGAATTAAGTATGTTCTCAGGAAAACGTCACTCTCATATCAGAAATCATATACACTTCTAAAGAAAGAAAAGAGATCATGATGAGACAACAAGATGTAGCTGACAAAGGTTGTTTCTTTCAGCTCAATCCAAATCAGATTTCTAGAGATCAGAAAGAAGGAATTCAACATCAAAATCAGATGTACTAATATAATATGTTTCTTTAGAAATCAGACATTAGATATGTAGCTCAGAAAAGCAAATTATCAAGGAATCAAGACAAGGTCAAGACAAGGTCAAGACAAAGTAGATCAGAAAAGCTTTCACTCAAAGAAGTTGTTCATCAATGTCATACCCCAAATTTTACCGCCCTTTATTTCTACAGTCAATAATATTTTCAACATTGATTTTTATAAATTCTTTGGTTCAATTTTACTAATATTTTAACAATAATTTATTTCGCTCATTTAAAAATGTATAATAGCTTATTTTAAATTATTTGTATTTTAAATAGAAAATACTTGTTCGCTTTCGTATAATTTCAATTGGGGTTTTTATTTCAAATGAGTAACATAGCATACTTGGTAAAGAATGATGCTTACAAGTATGAGGTCGTGGGTTGAAATCTCTTATGTTGCACTTTTAAACATTTTCTTTTTCTATTTTTTGTTACTAATTTTCTTTTCTTTTTTAGAGATCAGGTTTTGGGCTTTTCAGTGTTTTGACTAACTTTCTTTTTAAGTTTTTTAACCTAAACTCTATAAATATGACTATTATCCATCATAATTTTGGATCCATCATTTCACAATCTCAATTTTTCTCTTACTTTTGATTTATTCTAAGGTTTCTGAACAAAAACTCTGTGAAACACATCCACAAATTTCCAATTACACACAACTAATTTTTCTCTCTTTTGGTTTATTTAGTTTATTTTAGGATTATTGTCTTTAACCGACAATGACCAAAAAACTTTCTACGACTTTTAGCCGATGATTATATATGAGGCCCCTTCCTCTTGTTTTCAATACATTTTAATTTTAATCTATTTGATTTTTTTCAATCAAATGATGATACTAATATGATGGTTTATTATTTTTGAAAGAAAATTTATAGATTATATTTGGTTTGAGGAAATTGTTCTTTGATGCATGTAATTATTATCTTACGCTTTGTACACATATCTCGCAATATTTTTATTAACACATACTACACTAATTACTACATACAAAAAAAAACCTATTTGAAGAGATCAACAAAAAAATCGCTTCTTCTTTCCAGGGCTTCGGTATAGCAAACACCATCACCTTGCACATTCCTCACAAAATCTCCAATTTTTACAACACCATTAGCCTAATAGCCAATACCAACCACCTCTAACCACCAATATTTTTTTCACTAACAAATTCTAACAGCTAACAACATATTCTATTAACAGCGATTATATTGCAAAGAACATGAACATAGAACAAAAAAGACGGAATCGAAACAACGGCTCAAATCACTGACAAACACCTCAACCGTCGGCGAGCCAACCGTGGACGTCGCTACTGCTTCCCACCGCAACAACAATACTCGTGTCTACCTCCTCCTGGCCAGAAACGCGCTACGAAGATGCAGACCATCGCTTCGGATCTCAGTCGCCATCGACATCTCGATGTTACCGGACGTATTCCTCTGCATACCCATGAACCAGATCCCGACAATCTCACAACCGCGAGATCCATCGCAACAAATCCACGTACGCCTCTAATCTCCACTGTCATCATGCAAGAGGTAAGCTTTTTCCCCTCATTTTACTATTCCTTTGTTGCTATGTTGTGATGCTCTTGAAGAAGAATTGAGAAATTGATGCGGAATTTGAAAAAATAAGAAATTAAGAGAGAAGGAGATGGGAACAAGTGAGATCCATATATGGTTTTTTTTTTTGGAGAAAAGCGCAGTGGGTAAAAGATGAGAAATGGCTTTTGGTCTACTGTCTCTCTCTACGGTTTGTATCATGTGAGGATTTCTTTTTGCCACACATAATGATGTCATTGTTTTATTTAGTTATAATTGAAATAGGGTTATATTCTTTAGATCTTAGAATGTTTGGGCTTTCTCTAAACTAATTAATTCAAACATGTTACAAATATTAGGATTAGTGAATACACATCCATCATATTTTTTGGTTGGCTCAACACCTTATCAATTAAATGTTCAACATCAAAACACTCAAAATTCAAACACTCCCTCAGCATGAGCGACATGTAGTCATTCTCTGGCCACGTGATTAGGAAACTTTGACAGGTTCTCCCCGCTTTGAGTCCAAACCATATTCATTACCAATCAAACTTAAAACAACTAACCAACACAAAAACCATTTTTTACTAACTTAATAAAAATCAAGATATTTTCGAAAAAGGATTAAGGAGAATTGATATTAAACTTAACTGCGAACTGCGTCTACGATCACTCAACTTACAACCCATAAAGGTTAAAGGATAATTCAAAATCAATTATATGCAATCCTATAAAAAACACTAACCAAACACTTCGAACTACGAATTGGGACTCTGATTCCTCATAAGAGGATACATAAGCATACGACTTAAAAATCGTGGCGAGTCCCCTAACTAAGAAATTAAAACCCTATTCCTAAACCTTAAACCTTAATCCTAGTATCCTTGTAAACAAGGTAGATGAATGGTGCCTAACACCTTCCCTTCGTCTAAAGTGAGTCAAGAACTTAGAATCTTTGTATCGTCAATTAGGAATATTCCGTTATACTCCCGTCTTAGGATAAAAATTAATGGTGGCGAGTCTTATTTTTTGTTGGTTATTACAATCAGATAAATTATTGCTTGTATATTTGAAGACAATGTTCACATATCTGAAAGACTACGACTCTACAATAAAGAAGAATCTTTTGGATCATTATCACTCCTTAATCAGATCAATCCAACAAGAAGAAAATAATCAAAGCTCAAGAACTCAAAGACTTGAGAATCAAATGGGGTGTTGTCATAATATCTGATTTCAAGATCCATCATCAGAAAAGCTTTTGATATCTTCATCGGAAAAGCTTTCACGTACAATGTCAAGACTTGGTTTTCAGATAGGCTTTTGTCGATCATTCTGAAAACAAGAATACACTATTGAAAGAATCTGAAATGAAACATTTTCTCAATACAATCTTCATCTCTCATATCAGAAGAAAAAAATATGCCTTCAAGACTAGTTCTAGATCAAAAGAGAAGCTTTGTGGTTCAGATAGGCTATTGCCCATAATTCTGAAGATAAGATTTGGTTCTGAACTATCCGGTGTTCTTGCGTTACAACAACAAAGTAGTTTCTGAACTACTCATCACTCGTTCATCATAAGAACAAAGACAAGTGATTGATCTCTTCCAAGCCTACTACTTCAGAATCAGAAGTACATCATCAGAAGATAAAGATCAAGAAACTTAGTCAAGAAGAATACAGTACACCATAAATTCCACTATCATGATATTGGTTGTACTATTCAAAAATGTTGTTCTCCCACTATCGTACGCTGTCTACTACAAGCAGCAAGTATAGAAAAGTGATGTTTCATACTATTTCAAACCTCTCTTGAATATATCCGTTGGGAATCAGCCGTTGGAAGGAGAAAAGACTTCTTTATCCTTACAACGACTCTTTTTATCTGAAGGCTATATAAGAAGACTAAAGCTTCTAATTCAAATTAACAAAGATATTGACAAAAAAGACAATGTCTGAGTCCAAACAATGTTGTTGCTCTTAATAGAAAATATCTTACAACGTTGAAGAGATGAAATGAAGAAGCAATGAGTTATTGCTCATAACTTGCTTAATAAAGAAGGAAGACGAAGAAGAAGAATTCTACAAGATGTTATTCAAACAATTAATCATACCTTTCTCAATGAAGAAGATGAAGACAAGAAGACTACAAGATGTTGCAGTCAAACTTAGATTATATCCATCTTTGTAGAAACATGTAAACCACAAGAGTTGTTGCTCAGATTGTGTTATTTATTAGAATCTTCATGTAAATTGTTTGTACAAAAGAATTGTTGCTCAGAACTGTGTCAAATAATATGTACTTAAAGTAGGAGTAATATGCTTGATAAGAAGCACTCATGTAATTTTCAGAAAAACAATTATGTTTAGAATTGGTGGTTCCTCAAGTGATCTTGTGAAGATCTGATACTTGAGAAGACGAGTGCCCGCGATCATCGTGGATGAAATACTTTTTGGGAGACCATGTTGGTCAGATTCTAGGTGGGTCAATGATCGTTATATCTCGTGGAAATCATTGAACGTGTCATTATGATGTTCCTTGAGAGACTCGGTTGAGTCAGGATTCTCAAGAGGGCATATGATGTGGTCTTTGTAGAAATGGCAGTAAGGATCAGCTGAACTTGTTGTAGATATTAGTAAGGTTGATCGGGCTTATTGTGTATTGTAATCATGTTTGGTTATAGTGGATTAAGTCCTTGTTGAAGGCAAAATCATCTGAGGAGGATGGACAGGAGTAGCCTAGTTAACAGTTAACTTGGATAACTGAATGTGTCCTTTTTTTTTCCTATCATTCTATATTCTTTCATAGTTCAATCAAATAATTTTCTAAAGAGGAATGTTTTCTAAAAACCCAATTCAAATCCCCCTTTCTTGTGTTTTCTCTACCTTCATGGAGGAGGGTATAAGGTTGAACTGTGAAGGTAGTTTGAGATAGTTAAAGGGAAATACAAACTCATTAAACAACACATCTTTAGAGATAAATAGCCTTCCAGATGTATCACAATATTTATAGCCTTTATGCGATGGTGAATAGTAAAAAAAGTACACTCCGAGGACCTGAAATGCAGTTTATGATTGTTGTAGGGTCTAAGTAATGGAAAACAAGCACAACCAAATACTTTGAGAAAAGCGTAGTTTGGCGGTGTTTTAAACAAAACTTAGACACGAATAAAATTAGTGTGTGACAGGCAACTTGTTAATTAGATAAACTGCAGTATGAAATGCATGATCCCAAAAATGATAGGGAAGAGAAGCTTGAGACAACAAGGACAGACATTTCTCAACAACATCTCTATGTTTCCTTTCAACAACCCTATTCTGATGGTGAGTGTGAGGGCAAATAAGTCGGTGGACAATGCCTAGATCAACTAGGAACTATTTGAAAGGTCTAAACTCACCCTCAACATATTTGTATGGCCTTTAGCTTAGTGTTTAATTGAAGCTCAACCAGATTCTTAAATTCCTTAAATTTAGACAATGTTTCATCCTTTATTTTTAAAAAATTGTTCTGGACTGGGCCCATCCTGGCCCAAGAGCAAGAACGAAGGCTCAATCCAAGCAACTCTACAAGGGGCGCGCGCTCGAAGATGTCCGCCAGCGCGTCGATCAGAAGCTACAGCCGTGTCCGCCACTGCCCGCGAACACGGCGTCGTCGACCACATGAAATCCAGCTCGAGCCCAGCTCGAGCACCCTCCTCGTAGGGCAGACTATGACCGTTACTCCATCACCTGAACTCCGGAAAGACCGCGTCCTCGTCCCTCCGTACTTCTCGCAGAGCATCACCAGAAAGGGGACCACGTGCAGGTCCCCACTACACACGTAGAACCTGACAGTTCCTTTATGGGGCCAGTCCTGGTCGGCCCAATGAAGGGACCTTGGCCCCGCGCTGGGGGCTATAAATACCCTCTATTCCTAGAGGGTCATGTATTCATTCTCTTACCCATATACACACCTTTTTCCTGCTCGTACTATCACTCACTTTAGCATCGGAGTGCCTTGCAGGTATCCCCTCCATCCCGTTCAACTTCTGCTCGGAGTCAGTCGTGACGGTCCAAATCTGATCCGGTAAGATCAAAAATATATACATGTATGACGACTGAAGACATCAATAAAGAACACATAATACTTATACCCCATAGAAGACACCATTGGTGTTGGACCCCACTGTCACACCCTAATTTTCATCATCTGAATCATTCGCATCCAAAATAATTTTTTTACTTTAGTCACTTTTCACATTAGTATTGAATGGTCGCATTTGACTTTGCATTCGTAATTGATAATTAAATCAATTTGCGCATCAAAGTCATTTTTATTCATATTTGCACTTTTTAGATTATTTGAATTAGCATCTCTTTTTTCAATAATTAAATTAGTTATTAATAGAATTCACATTATTTCGATAATTAATTTAATTTTTATTTTCATAAATCACTTTAGTTTTTATCACATATAGAGTAATAGTTCTTTTTATTGGTATAGAGTCATTTTTATTCAAACATCTAAGTTGTCCATAATTAGTCATTTACATCATTTTGTTTTTATTATTTTAATTAAGTTGTTTCATTTAAAATAGATTGTTTTTAAAGTAGAGATATTTTGGTTTAAATAATAAATATGAGTAGTACATTTTAAGTAATAATGTAGTAACAATAGACTTTTATTCACATTTTAAGTAGTGTTATTGTTATTACAAGAAAAATCAAAAATATGGAATACATTTTATATCATGTACTATACAAAGGAAAAACAATAGAAAAAAATATATCATCTTGTTGGGAGTCACACTCGCCTTGCTTCATGCCACTATCATCTTCAATTCATCAGTACAACACCTGCAAAATTACAAAGAAATCAGTATATATGAAAAACACAGACAAAGCAAACTTCACAGCTAAGTTTTCACAGCTCATTCATCCCACAAAATCAAATCAGGGATTTACTCCCTCCACTACTCTCTATTCACAACTATTCATCCTTATCTCAAATCCTCACACAATTCCCCTATTACCCTCACTTCAATACTCCTGTATGAACCATGCTCATTTTCTCTGATAAGAGAGAACAAAAAAAGACCTGAAAAACCAGAGAATACACACAATCGGTACAAAAACTCTCTCCAAAACACTACACACCAATACACCAAATTCTGCCCAATTCTCCCAACCTGAGAGAAAATCTTCTTCAATACTCTCACATGCTCCATTCATATCACAACCAAACCGCACCAACAATATCACTCACAAACTTTGCT